AAAAAAAAAACAACAAAACAAAACATAAAAACATAAACGCTTTTCATACATATCCAGTGCCTACTCCTAGCAGAGATACTTTCTCATGAATTTTGAAATGATCTTACTCTTTTCCAACCATTGACACTGGGTACAACACTCTGTGCTGGACAGCCCTGCCAGTGGGTGCCAGAGTCACCCCAAAAGAGCACAGGTCAGAGAAGACAGAGGAGAAAACCCAGTCCATCTCTTGCTTCTTCATTTGTAGTCTGAACAGAGTGAACAAAACATGTGGCTTCAGAGGTTCAGGACATTTTTTTTTTACCATAAGTACAGTGAAGTATTATATATTCCTGCTTAAACACATATAAGGTAAATATATCATCTACATGACAGTGTACATAGACAGATATCTACTGATAATATACTGTATGATAATATACTGTATATGTACAGTAGGAGGTTTTAGTATGGGCCCTGTGGAGACGGTCGTATTGCCTTGCACTCACTTGTTGTCAAGAGATCTCTGCCGTCCTGGAAAATTCTCAGTGTTGTGTTCCTCGGTAAGCGAATGCTATGTTAGAAGACATTTCTAATTCTTCACGCCTAATATTCATCTCGAATTCAGCCGTTCATTTAATCTGACCTGCTTCTTCCAGACTCCCCTTTACTTGGTGAACCACGGCGAGAATGGACCTGTCCGGTGCAACAGGTGCAAAGCCTACATGTGCCCGTTCATGCAGTTCATCGAGGGCGGGAGGAAGTACCAGTGTGGCTTCTGCAACTGCATCAACGATGGTAGGTAGTGCCGCGACCCGGTCTGTGGAAGTAACGTGCATGACATGTTTAGTTCAGCAAAAACACATTTGTTTTTTCCCAGCTTTGATTTGTCCTAGTGCCTTCTTTATCATTCCCTAGGGGGCAGCTAAGTAAAACACCCATGTTCAGCTTGGGAATCCACGTCCCTCTTTCCCTCTTAACTTTCTGTAGCTGGCTGAGCCCCATGTGGAAATTGTGAAAGAAAGTTCAAATGTGGTAGCTGGGGTGGGTGTTATTTTTCAACCACCTTATGCGAAAGCCCCAGTTGCAGCAAAATGACATTTTAAAAAATGTTTCTTAACCTTATAAGTTTACAGAGGATAAACCCTTGAGACTTACCTTTTGTGAACCGTTGGGGTTATTTATTTATTATTTTTGTGCTGGTTTCTAGTCTTAAATTTCAGGCTTTGCACGGTCAGTTGGCTTTTTGGTGCTCTCCCACTTGAGCCACAGTTCCACTTCTGGCCTTTTCCTAGTTAATTGGACATAAGTCTCAGGACTTTTCTTCCTGGTGCTTCTTAGAGCACAGCCTCCAGTAGCTGGGATTGCAGGGGTGAGCCACCAGTACCGACCGAGCGCGGTGTTATTCTTGTTTGTGAAGTCCTTGGAACTGAGGATAAGCACAGATGAAACCCAAGGCTTTAACTCTTAACATAGATTTTACTTTCCTCCTCTGATATAAATGTTGATTCTTTTAAGAAAGGAGCATTCTTATGATATACTTGTCTATATTTTTTAGGCATTATATTATTTTATTAATCTCATGCCACTATGAACTCACTGATGTTGAAAAAAACCTGCAGCCTTGCCAAGATTACTTTCACACGTATCATATTTATACCATGTCTTTATACTTATGATTCCCTGGCATTAAATAAAATGCACCCCCCACATTTGTGTACATGTGTTGATGTTTGTTAACTATAATGACTGTGGGAGAATGACTTTCTTAGGGTTTCCCCATTCCTGATGATCATGGACATGCTTCCAGGCCAGTTCTGAGACCAGAATAATATATAGCATAGCCACAGCGCTCTCTGTCTCTTTGCCTCTCCATAAGCACTGCACCCTGCCACAGTTTCCTGCCTACCTCAGTGTGTCCGTGGCCTCTTGGCTCTGTGAGTGTTCTCTGGTGGGAGAGCACTCCTTATCACCTTCTTTCCTGTCCCCTTGTCTTGCCCACGGTCTAGATATGCTTGTGTCCAACTTAGAAACATAAAGCGCTGGACACTGGTCTTGGGAGTCTTCCCCGTGAAGACCTTCTATCAGTTGGCACAAGTGGCTTGCTGTGGATTTGCACGGTTGGCTTCTGGTCTCACCTTGAAGGCTGTGGCGTGGACCGCTCATGACACCCATAACATCTGCTCAGGGCAAACTGGATGTGACGCTGAGCCCAGGATTTGTTTTCCAGGCTTATTCTTCCTAAGGAAGATCTGCTCCATTGCTCATCCCCAACATGGAATCTAACCAGATCTCCTTGGCTGGACCTCTGTCTCAGCACTTTCTGTCAGGAGCCTGGGGGAGCTCGTTACTTTGTCTTTTGGAGCAGACTGTCGTGAGATGGCAGAGGCCGCTCCTGAAGCACTAGGATAAAGTTCCTCCCCAGTTCACGGCTCCTCAGGGTCTGTAGCCAAGCCCTCAGCTGTCTTTGGAAGGTGATCAAGGGGATAGAACACAGAGAATCTTCCATTTGTTGTCATTCCCTGGTCTCTCACAGGGTTGGGGAACCTTTTTTTCTACCAAGTGCTGTTTGGGTATTTATAACATCATTACGGGCCTCACAAAATTATCAGTGCTGAAAGTTGGGCTGTGGACAGCCAACAGGTGGTGGGCATGCCTATTCTGTTTGTACCAAATGATTTCATGGGCCTAAAACAGCCTTCGGGCCAGTGTTCCTAGGCTGCAGGCCAGAATCCCTTGGACTTAGACTGATCTCTATGTTCTCCAGTTGGGTGTGATGAAGACAGAAGTAGGTAGATTGTTTTAGAACAGAAACCCTGCTCCAATAATTCCACTCTTCCTTTTCTGCAATGTCTAGAGATTGCCTAGTGGGAGCCAAGATGCAGAAGGATGCTGGGAGACAGGAGTCCCATGGCAGTGCCTCGTCTATGCTGTGACTTAAATGTTGGATCGTAAAAGATGACAGACAATATTAAATGCTAATGAAAATAATACAATTACCTTGCCCATGTAATTGTAACCCCTCTGTATGGTACTTTCACAATAATAAAAAAAAGAAAAAGAAAATAATACAAGAGCAAAACTTCACATTACAAATAGCTGTGTGGGTTTCAACTGTAGGCCCTGTGATGTGGATGTGGGGTGGGAATGAGCCGCAGGTGATGCCGAGACACTGGAATATATTACAGATGATTACACAGACAGGACACTGCCGTATGTCCTCAGCCCGCCCGCCCATGTCTTCTCTCTCACTTCTTTGCACCACCACCATGGCAGTTTCTGGCCTTCCTAGTTTTATCTCTGGAGCTGAGACTCACTTGCCAACATACTCATCATTTTAATAATGTTGAATCTTCCACATTCAGAGACCCATATGTAAATATAAACTTTAAAAAGAAATGGCTATGATATGTTAAGAATATAGAAAAATCAAAGTTCTATAATTTTGTCTGCAAATCTTACCTTAGAAAATAATTTGTTGTGAACAAGACTCAAGTGGTAGAGGACTTGCCTAGCATCTACAAGGCCCCGAGTTCAAACCCTTGTACCACCAAAAGAAAAAGGGAGCTAAGGGGTCTGGAGTTTCTTCTGAGGTGACCAAAATACCTTAAAACTAAAACAGTTGGGGTAGTATGATTTTGTGAATGTACAAAATGCCATTGAATTGTACATTGCAACTAGTGAGATGTTCATTCATTGATTTAGCCACTAGCCAAGGTATCTGTCTATTGAAACATTGTGTTGTATGCCATAACTACATGCAATTTTTATTGGTCAACTAAATGTTAACAAAAGAGAAAATAGTCCCTCATAATTTCAATGCCAGTTTCACAACTAAAAGTAAAGAACACTCAGTTGGTTTTCAAACAAAAGTCCTTACTTTATTTGTAAAGCTTTACAGAGGAAGATGTTGTTCTTTACAAAATGCCTCACACAAAAGCACTGAGAGTTTTTCTAAACACCCCTGTTGGCAAAAGTTTCATAGCTTTCCCTATTCATCTTGAGGCAACGAGAGTTCTTTCTTGCACAGATACCAAGCCTTATTTGTCCAAGTGCTCTGTATGTGACTCAGAAGTATTTCTGTGCTACTGGATGGCTTCCAGGACTTAGCCAGAACTAACCTTCTCAGACATTTGAATCAAATTAATTCTTCAGAGGAGATCTCTTGTCTGCAGTCTTTCCCTAATACAGTCATCTTCAGCACTCTCCAACCCAGCCATGAGAAGATTAACCTACCAACTTCCCTAGAGCAGAAAACATTCCCTAATTAAAGTATAATAAATATGGTAGTTAATAGTATAGTTCAAATAACCATTGTTTATCTCTGTTAGGTAGATGGAAAATTCAATTTTGTGTGTGTGTGTTAGTCATGAGGCCTGAACTCTGGGCCTGGGTGCTGTCCTTCAGCAGTTCAGCTCAAGGCTAGCGCTCTCCCACTTGAGCCCATGGCTCTGCTTCTGGCTTTTTTCTGCTTATGTGATACTGAGAAATTGAACCCAAGGCCTCATGCGTGAGGCAAGCACTCTACCACTGAGCCACCTTCCCAGCCCCCCAAAATTCTTTTTAAAAAAGTTCAATCACAGATGATTACTGATTTAAAATCATCAGTAATTTTGTCATTTTTTTGTTAGTTTTGGTGCCAGTTTTGGGGTCTGAATTGCTGTCCCTTAGCTTTTTACTCAAAGCTGGCCACTCTACCACTTGCACCACAGTTCCACTTCTGGCTTTTTTTTTTTTTTTTGGTGCTTAATTAGGGATAAGA